CAAAACAGATGTTTTTTAGCAGGTACGCGCTCTAATGGCGTAGCTCTATTCTGGAAAAGGGGGCGGGGAGCATCAGCTCATTTGCATTTAAAGAGACATGCACGAAAAACAGCGTGTTTCTGCTTCCACTCAAAATAGGCATATTCAAAATGATATAATAAATGATCTGTGGAGTATTTTGAGCTGAAACTTCACAGACACATTCTGGGGGCACCAGACACTTATATTACACATTGTAAAAAGGGGTATAATATGTCTTTTTGAAAAAAAAAACACTTTTTTGGAGATTGAAAGATGATGGTCACTATGAGCTGTTGTGTACATTTACATTTATGCATTTAGCAGACGCTTTTATCCAAAGCATTTTACAAAAGAGGAACAAAGCAATTCATCAAAGAGCCAACAATTGTTGTAGGACAAAGTACCAGTATTGGTATGAAAAAGACCTGTGTGAAGATTCTTTAAAAATTCTCCTTTTAAAGGAGAAAATAAGATTTTTGGAACAAGATGGGGTAAGTAAAAAAAATGACAGAATTTTTCATTTTAAGTACAGTAAACTGATCCTTCAAACCTGCGTCCCTATGGGATAAGCTGTCTGGACAATGGATAGATGGATGATCTTTACTGTTCAAAATATCAGGTAAATTTAACATCTGAATATTAAGTAAGAAACAAAAAAATCAGCATTGTGTCCAATCTCACATGTGAGGTGCTATTACAGACCCCTGTCTCCACATGCACTCTAAGTATCAAGCGCACCCATTAACGTCAGACAATAGAGGCTTCCGGATTCACGGGGCCCTTTTCATCCCTGAGAGCAGGATTTGTCAAAACAGCATGTGTTATTGAACCCGGGTTTCTCACCGTGCTCAATGCAAATGAGAGCAGCCTGATTTATTCCCAGTGTTTGATGGATTTATTCTGACAGAGGAAGTGACAGCGCTGTGACAGCCAAGCCCCCCCAACCTTTTCTATTTCAATTCTTATTCTATAATGCATTCTATTCTGAACTTCTTTCTCAGCTCTCAGGGCTTTTTCTCAGCATTGTGGTGTAGAAAGGACTGCATTATTCATGATCATATATTCATTGTCATTTCATATACCACCTCTGATTTGCATTCAACTCCATCCCCGTGTTCTCTGATAACTGCGGATACTTTGTAAATTCTATGAGGAATGGGCTGATATGTATTTTCAATGACTTCATTTGTGGTTCATGATGTACACACCATGAAGTTAAATGGACTTGTTGAAATAATGTTTAATTTGACGATAAGCCTTGAATTACATTTGACTGAGTGGAGGGTTGTTTTAATACTGAAGTGTCGTTCACAACGGCAGTGATTTGCTGTGGCAAAGCAACCAGATGTCATTCATTTTTAATGATTCGGGGCGACTAGCGACCGTTGCAGATGCAACAAAGTTCAGCAGTTAAACTTTATGTAAATTAGCAGTAATGTAGGTAAGCATAAAGTACAATGACGTATTTATGCTGAGAGACCCACAACAAGCAACTGGAAGTCATTCTATTCCAAAGGGAGTTGGTTACGTGACATTACAAACGACAGAGATCACTGTCGACGCAACTTTGTCTCCCATAAATATGCATGTGAATGGAGGAGACTGGAAACACAAGCGCATACAAAACATTTTGCATTCCACTGCTTACAAAACTTGCAAATTCATACGACATATGATGCGACCAAAAGATCTAAACACCACTGCATAGACCTTATTCAGCCTGACAACAGTAATCAGTTGGCAGCAAGGTTGCCAGCAAGTTACTGTTAAAGTAACGGTGTCTTGCTGTTGCTGAAATGTACAGTTGCTTACTGTTTTTGCGAATACAGTATAAAGCTGTTATTTTCTACATTCACAGTACAATATTGTCAAATGCACCAACAATTACTTAATGTTTATTTGTAATTCTTCACAAGAGCTATATTTTAAGGATTTTACAGTAAACTACATACAAATTGACACGTTAAATTTGGACTGCTATATATATACAGTATATATATATATTTTCGTAATTCATTCTACATCCTTAATTATTGCCTCTTTCTCAAGTATTATGTAAATACATATGCATATCTCTTTATTTATACAGTTCTATATAGAGTAAATAATGCACAAATCTGTACATAAATCTACTGTTCCAGATTCATACACATTATTTATTGTTAAGTTTTTACTATTTAAATTTTTTTTTCTGTTCTCATGTCAGATATGTATGTATGTATGTATGTACCAGGAGCACCTTAAAAAAAAAACACAACAAATTCCTCGTGTGTTTGCACACACCTGGCGAATAAAGCTAATTCTGATTCTGATTCTGATTCTGATATATCTTTTTTTTTCTTTCTTTTTTCTCTAAACCATTTGATTTTATGAATTACCCCGTTTCAGTATCTTGTATAAATGCAGCCTTTGAAACATTACAAATTTTAAAACAAATAATGCATATTAAAAACATCATTTCAAAACATGCATCTTCATTATTACACTTTTGATACACTTCAACAACAGAAGCCAAAAAAAAAGACATTTAAGAAAAACTAAAATTTCAGCCATTTAAAAAAGAATTATGTATGCGCATGTGGTGTGAGTACAGTATGTGTGCGATGTGTGTTTGGGTTCACATATGAAGTTCCACTCAAAGTCTATCAGTTTTTCAAGAAGCGTTGCGACACGAGGGTTGACTGATGTCTTTTTGTGAGCGACCTTCTCTGTCCGCTTCGATAGGATCAGGATCAATCCCCGTGATGCACCTGAAACACAAATGTGTACATTCAGAATTTGTGTGGGGGGAAATAATATAAATATAGCAAAGTCTATTCTTGTATCAAGAACACTGCGCTTTACTGTTCGGTGTAGGTAAAGTTGCATTTTAGCATATTTTTAGGGGTTAGACATTGTCACCTGTAAATCCATATATAAACATAGTTCAGAGAAAGCAGTGGGTTCATTTAAACGTG